GAGTGGAGCCACTTTACTACCTAATACATAGGGAATGCAGATACGTATCGGACAGTGCGACGAGGCGGCGCGAAGGAGGGACGAGGAGGGAATTGTTTTTGTCGTGGGGCAACGGAAGCTGACGGGGCTCCGCGACGAGGGGTCCGTGGGGGCGAGAGGGGACAGGCAAGGGGTGCGAGAAAGAGAAAGAGACGACGACGGGGGGTGAGAGTGAGAGAAGGGGAGGACAGAGGGTTGGTTAAGAGAGAACGGAGGTGGATTCGGCTTGGCAGCGCTACCGCGGCCGACCCGGGAAACTCGGACGGGGTTGGTCCGAAAGCTCTCTCAGTCGCGGACAAGCCGCCACGCAGTGATAACACCCTATATATCGCGGGGCGACGCTAAGTAAACTCGATACGCGTCGCCGCTCGGGACGATCAAATCCCAATTACGATCACAGCGTAAGTTCGTTAAAGTGAAAGGCCGTCTTTAATTGGAGCTTCTGTCTCTCGGTCTCGGCTCGAGATAGAGAGAGAGAGAGAGAGAGAGAGGGAGAGAGAGAGAGAGAGAGAGAGAGAGAGAGAGAGAGAGAGAGAGAGAGAGAGAGAGAGAGAGAGAGAGAGAGAGCCTCTCGCGCCGTACCGAGCCGATGATCGATAACGAGGGGATCGCGGGGATTCACGTGGTGGATCGACAGTTCGCGCGACGACGTCCGAACTTCGCGCCCTGGATTTTCGCAATTTCAACGTACCCCGTCTCGCGCGCACACGTCCATCCCGTTCCCGGCGACACATTCGCGCGCGCTCGCCGGTCAGCTTTTTTCGCAGTGACGATTTTACGAGTCCCGAGGCGGGAGTGCCGACGAAAACGTCACGCAAACGCCCGAGCAATTAAGGACGTGTCGCGGTATTCGCGTATCCAGTCAAAGGGCCGCTGCACCTCGTCGCCGAGCACCTGCCGAGTGCAGCTGCGGACCCGACTAACGAGAATCCGCGCTGTTATTTCGTTGCCGCGTTGTATTGCAGCGTCGGCTAGCCTGTCGGCGGGCCGCTATACCGTGTCACGTTATCGTCCGGTAATTAGAGCGAATACCTCGATAATTTCATTGCTTTCGCACCTGTTTTTTTTTCTACGTATAAACGCGAGCATCTTTTTGTACAGCTGCACAGTTGAGAAACTAACAGGACGTTCTTGTTATCTCTTATGTGTTTCAACGCTGCGAACGTAATAAGTAGAATCCAGTAGATACGTGTGAGTCAATATGTGACACCGTGCACAAGATCACAAAAGACTTATTCTCTCGTCCGATTACACCTTGGACGTGACGGCGAGCGGAGTCCCGATGAACACGACGATAGGATTAAGTAATCGAGTGTAACACGCGCAGTAAGCGTGTTTTCCCATCCCTCCCGAATTATTCCCGAAAAGTAGAGCGGCGGCGGCGGCGGCGGCGGAGAACAGTGAAAGATAAAACAGCGGTTCGCACAAAGGATCGGAAAAATGTGATAGTGACGAGAGGAGATAAAGCGAGGCGTGACCGATTCGCCGTAGACGCATATGAAATTCCCTTTGAGTCCGGTCTGCGCTAACGACGGCGGCTCGGTTTTTGGCAATCGCACGGCTGGTTAGTTCTCGTTGACCGTGCGAAAAGGCAGTTACGAACTTTATGATTACGCGGCGCGGCCCGGACAGGCGGATTGTTTCGTTCGTCGATCACGTGCAAGCTCGCACACACAATTCGCCAAGTGCCAAGTTGGAGCCGTGGCGCTCGGCGGCTCGCGTGCCACGATAGCGCGTATCTCGGCCTCCGGGTGATTCCCCGGAACGGCTGAGGAGTCTATTCGCGCGCGCGCGCGGCCTACTGCTGTTCTGCCAAATCTCGCTGTTGCGTTAACTCACGCGGCCACGCGGCTTCCTTTCGCGCGTCAAGGAACCGCATGGAAGTGCGCGGGCTTGTTAATTCATGCGACGGCCATGTCGAACGAGCCAAATGTACGTACCTTCGCGAAATGCGAGAAGGTGAGAGAATGGAGTTGGTGCACTTATCATTCGGAACGTCGGGGGAGGGATGAGGGGAAAGTGGTTAAGAGAACTGGAAGCGTTTGGGCCGTCTCCAATTTCTGGCAATTGCGGACGTTGCGGATAAAAAGGGGGTCAAGCAACGCGGAGTGCGCAATAGCACGGTTGAAAAAAGATTTGGCGTTTAATCGCATCGCGCGACGCGCCCATGACGGTCGTTAAATATTCATGACAACCATCCGCGCGACTCTCTCTCGTAGGCCAGCTAAATTATTTATGATTCTTTTATGCCGTGACCGAGTTATAATAACAAAGTGAAAGTCCAAGTTGCAAACAAAGTGCGGACGAGATGCATCGGCGAGGAAGAAAATTCACATTTGTCCTTTTCGTCGCGCTATTACTTCTGATCCTTCTTTTCTTTTTTTCTTTGCTTTTTCATATTTTACGTGAACAATAAACGTCCGCTGGTTGCCACATTTGCGACCAAATTCATCAAAATTGACACGATGTAGTACTCACTGTCGAGCAAGTAGCACCAATTGTTCGGACAAGTTTTCTTCCTTTCTTCCTCTCTCGTTCTGTTCCTTTTGCGCGCTCGATCAGTACCTTGTCGAGCGAAATAGAAGAAATGTCCGATTTGAAGAGCGAGTTTGCCGTTTATGAAGTCTGCGAATTTTAAAGTTTGGTGAATTATATAACCGATGGCGCGCGAGCTCGACTCTCATTTTATTCCCATCGTCCCACCGCTCAATTAATAACCTGATCTTTGTTTCAATCCCTCGTGACGAATTACGCAACGTAGTCCCGCAACCGGCGACGACGATTCCAGTGAACGCTGCGCGCGTGACCCGACAAAATCGACAAATTCCACCTGGCATATATGCTCCTTTCGAGCGAACTCCGCGGTCGCGAAGTCGCGTGTATCTTAATGGTCAGGAAGCTGCCATGTAAGCGTCGAATTAGAGCGACGATGAAAGACCAATCCTCGGGTAATCGAACTACCTCTCGCCTCCCGTTAGCTTGTCCAATCCGAAACGTTATATTGCTTCATCTCTCGAGTTCGACAGAAATTCCTGTGCTACGCTGGAGCAGTTGGCTTTTTCTTATCCCCTTTAACGTCCTTAACGTCGAAACATCGTTCCTCAGCTCGTCGTGTCTCTCTCTCTCTCTCTCTCTCTCTCTCTCTCTCTCTCTCTCTCTCTCTCTCTCTCTCTCTCTCTCTCTCTCTCTCTCTCAGTCCTTCTCTTCAGTTCCACTCTTCTATAACGAATGAATACATCGAGCTTCGCGCTACGATAATCCATTATCTCGGTAAATAATATTTTGATTAATTAATAATTGAAAGAGGGAGAGAGAGAGAGAGAGAGAGAGAGAGAGAAGGACGGGTGGGGGAAGAAGAGAGCGACAGCTATTGTCCGCTCGTATCCGAAATTCAGACGGATACGACAGATCGACAAATGAGGCGTTAATTAACGCGTCCGCGGATACATCCGAAAGTGTAATGCGAATGTTTGCGTTAGGTAATGCAAATCTAATGCAAACGGTCATGCCTTTCGCCGTTAGTTTAGTGCGCTTTCTGTACCCCCGGTCCCGCGCACCAGCTGAATGTGCAGCCGAGCTATTTAAACTTTCGGTCAACGTAGAAGTAGTTAAAGTTCGGGAAATTCGGGAAACGCGTGTGTACTTTAATTAACACGCATACGTTGGAAGTTCCTTGGTTATTAAGCCGTGTCGTCTAGAAATTGGATATACGTATACTCTCGGCAGCCACCCGCCGTGTACATCCTGAAACATCCACACACGCGTCCGCATCTGCGTATTGCCTCCTCCTACATCCTCGATTTGCCGTGAAATATATATAACGCGCGGAAATAAGTCTCGCGCGCGCGCGCACGGGCGAACATTAACAAACTGGCCGGTAATTACCGTAAGCTTCCCTTCTTCTGTACGAGAATATTAACAGCGTCGTTTCGTATTTGCATTTCGTTAAAATTCGCGTTTCCAGTCGCTTATGAAGCGCGCGCGTCGTTCTAAAAACGCATGCTTCGTAAGCGTCGCTCAATATACGCGAAGCTCTCTACTAATAAGATCCTCAAACTCGAAAATCCTAACAGAAAGGTCGGATGATAAAAAATTCTCTTTCTCTCTCTCTCTCTCTCTCTCTCTCTCGGTCAGATTTTAACCCAACTGCCCCACTTACCCATGAGACGGAAAAAAGCTCGGGCGGAGGGGGGTGCGACTGATTGCCGGTGCGGCGCGAAGCGCAGTAAATCCTAAAATCCACCGAATTTCGAAGCCCCGAGGCATGTCGTAATCGAGTCACTCCGCGGTCAATCTTAAACTACCGAGTTATACGAGTGACTCTGCGGCACTCGCTCCGGCACTTTAATCCGGGAACTTGAGAGTGCACCTGGTAGACGAGGATGGTATATCTCTCCCCGGCTACGAACTTCGGGCTCGCGAGAGGGTTGGAGGAGGGCGAGCGAGCGGGCGGACGGACGGGGGTGGTAGACCCAATTACATCTCGTTCGTGCAGAATTGGACGAATACATACAAGATGCTTAAGACGCCTTAACTACCTTGGGATTTGTACCCACGTTCTAACTGTCGAGATTCGTTTAAGCACCCTACACGCTGGACTGTCGTCGGTTATCCGGATTTGCATCGACTCATAAATCCGTTCTCGCGACTGTGGGATGATTTTCGAGGCCGACCGGCCTCGTCTTGTCGTCATCGGCGGATCGTAATCGTCTTCGGTCGGCGCTCAATTCCGCGCTCACTTCAAATTATTTTCATCTGTTCGCGATTCAAATTCTCCGCTCGAGCGCTTCCAATTTCTTCTACTCTAATCGAAAGAGAAAAGAATCAAAGTTCCACGATTATATCGACATGTGAAGGAATGGAGCGCGATTGTGGTGGGTGTTCCGTTCAGTTGAGCGCTCTATCTATTGAATGAGATCGATTAAGTGACTTTAATACGCGCGACTTCCTTCATGTTGCAGCAGGAAGCCGCACCACGCCTTGGAAAAAGCTGCGCCTGCTTCCCCGGGGACGATAATGCGGCACGACGGGACGCGGCGGGCAGCGGTGAAAAAAATTCAGTGAAATCGAAGATCCAGGATTAAGGACTGGCGATTAATGTACATCGCTACTTGGGGTTAATGGAGCGCGGCCAACGAAAGGGGGCTACGCGATGACACGCCGGCAGCCGAAGACGGAGGCGCGTTGAGCCTGGATTAGAAGGTCGCTTAAAAGCCGAGCACACTCTCCCGTCTTCAGACAAGATCGATCGAATCATCGGAGAGCGTACCTCGAGGAGGAGCAAACTTTGGCGCACGGGACTCAGTTTCGCGCGCGGCGCGCGCGCGACAGGCGAAGGGTTGAGAGAGGAAGAGGGGACGAGCTGTACCTTCAATCACACGCCGCGCGCACTGCTCGTGAATCCGCGCCGAGCTCCGAGATTCGTGGTCGCACGTGCTTGCGAGTCGGGGCAAGAGGGGGCAGCAAAGTCGTGGGAAAGAAAACAGCCAGGTCGCCCTTAATCCCGAATGATCAAAGACTCCTCGACCGCTGCTGCTGAGGACAGATTTATTCGCGTGTCGCGCGGATATTTGAGAGCGGCTGGCTGGCTGTCGCGGCGTGCCGAAGTTCCGCAGGCGATGCGCTACCTCCCGGTAAATTAAAGCGGCGTACCTCGGACAGCCCAGTCCGTTTCGGGACAATCGATAATGCCGGATCGTAAAACTCCGCGCGGAGCACGCCGCGTGTCTGATAAATAATGCAATTCCGCTATCGGGCGGGCTTGTGTCTCGGGGTGTGAAACGGGAAACGGACTGCTGGATCCTCACCCACGGCGCCGAGAAGAGAAAGACCGGGAGGGAGTCCAAGGAAGAGTTGTCTCGCGTGGGAGAGCCTCGCGTGAGTTACGACGCGGGCATCGCGGTGTGTACATGTGTGTTTATGTGCGCGTGTGTGTATGTGTATGTGTATCGACTTGATGAAATTGAGCCGGAGCGGTTAAGCCAGCAGCGCGGCAGTAGGAGGAGGTTAACAGGTGCGTGTATCATCCGCGATAAGTGTTCGTGCGTGCTCGGCGAGTGCGCGAGAAAGTGCGGATACACACTTTATTCGTATTACACGGCGATTCTCGATTTTCCACGGCGATTGAAACAGTGCCGATTTCCGGCCGGGCAAATATTTGTCGTGCGACGAAATCGAGTAGTTTAACTGCGGCTCGGCGGCGTCTCGTCGCGATTCCGAGCTCGCCCGACGTGGAAACGAAAAAAAGAGACTCTCACGCCATATTGACACACGCGCGATATCAAACACGGAGCTCGGCTACAAAAGGCCCGGGGACACACGTCAATGCGCCGGGACGCATAAATCGCGCGGGCTCAAGCGGGCTGTACATGCAATTAAGAAGAAGTAAATCGGAGGACCGTAATTAACGTAGTAGCTAAAGTACGAAGACGCGCATACTCGGCAGTAATTAATTACTTTCAACGTGAGTTTAGAAAAGTCCCCGTCGGATCCTCCGGGGAGTCATTAAGTGGACTTGAAGAGCGGCGCGTAACTCATGAATAGAAGCGTATAGCGAGTAAATTTCTAGGATAGTCCTAATTACTGGGGCGAGGAAGTTATATGAGCGCAGCTCGGCGCAGCTGCGAAGAATCGTTTCGCGTTTGCACGGTCCTTAAAATCGCGGAGATATACGAGCGAAGGAGACACATCGACGTTCGAAGGTGCTCGGAATCCACGTAACAAAGTGACGAAGAGACGAAGGAGGGGCAGGGAGCGAGCCTCATTTTCGCGTTCGACTGTTCCGAGCGAATCAGAACGCGGGCGGTGCCATGTGTGCTTCGTATTAACAGACTTCATATAACTGTGCTTCATATAAACAGACAGCGATCAAGTCAAGCCCGCGCCTTACAGATTCATACGTGGCGAATCGAACGTTCGCGAAGTCCACGCTTCTCGCAGTCTTCGTGTTTCCGTATTTCGTCCGCGAACAAAGTGTCGTACAGAGAGTGAAAGCTCTACGGGGAGAGAACTCTACGCGTTGTGTGTGTCGTCTTGTTATTTCTCGTGATTATTTCGCGACGAAGAGAAGTATTCGATTGTGAACGCGAAGCTGCCGATTACGTTCGCATCGTAGTGTCATTGTCGACAAAACAATAATCAGAGAACGAAGGACGATTATTACCGCGAGGTATGACGGACCTTAACGAAACTGATATGATGTGATGTATCACGAGAACGGACGAGTGGCGTTCACGATAGGCCACGAAAGAAATGACGGTGACGTGTACGTACGCGGATGTTGCGTTGTGCCGGGATGCTGCAGTGAGTAACTATCTATAAAAGCGACGAGAGTGCGGCAACGGGATCATTTTCGTCGTCGTCGTCGTCGTCGTCGTCGTCGTCGTCGTCGTCAGCGGAAGGGTGAAAACAGAGCCGCCCGACACCGCTCACAGAGACACCAGCATGAAGGATCATCGAGGAGGATGGTTGCGCGCCATGCTGCCCCTGATAACGTTCCTCTCCCATCAGACGGGTGAGTGTAATCCTGCATGTTTATTATCGCGCTGGCTTTTTCCGCCGGCGAGAGAAAACTTCCAGCGACGATCGAGTTGCGCAAAAGCATTCGTGTCGCGTGCGAAGCCGTTGACCGTAAATTGTGAATTTCGTGAAAAATACGGATTTTCCTTCGCCAGTCGAGACCAGTCGAAAAATTTATCATGGAAGGAATCGTAATCGCAACATTTCGGGAAAGAGACGGATGACCTATGAGTCTCAAACTGTTTTCTGTATCTCTCAAGGACAGAAGGACAATGAAATACGTATGAAAACATATTTTTTGGAGAAAACAAATATTTGACTAGAGTTCTCGCTGGAAATATGATAAAAACTATTTGTAGAATCGAAGAGGATTAATAGCTTATATATATCTGCTGAATTATCCTTTGGCTCTTTAAATTCCATAAAATATGCAAGGTTATCGCGAAATGGAAATTCCGACTCGAGTAAATGATGCAAAATTACGGGGATTTATTAATACACTTTGTAGTTTAAAATACACACTTTTCCTGAATGAATTTTTCAATTTATACGGTTATTTGCTCTAACACAATATATTTATAACCAGTAAATAACTTAAACGATTTCCAATAAACAAAATCAAGAATCGATTATAGACGCTGAGACCTGAAAATTCGATTTTCGACACTTAAATAGATACTCTCGGTGACAACCCAGTTGTATTAGCGAATGCATTGTACTATCGAATATTTCTTTTCTTTTTTATGATTATTTTCTGGCGTCCCAAATAAACTTAGAGCGGTACAACGACACTCTGTCGGTCATCCGAACAAAGAGGGAGGGTGTTGGTAAAGTAGGCCACATTGACGTGGCGTATAGTATAGGTTTCCAAACCCACAAATACGCAGCCGCGGACGTGATTATATCGAAATGTATATCACGTACAAAATACCGTGAGAGACCCAATTTTTTATGAAATATTGCGATTGAATTAGCCGCGGGTAACCGAGCGGTTTTATAGAATGCGGCTTATTAATAAAGAGAGAGAGAGAGAGAGAGAGAGAGAGAGCTGACGGCGCAAATTCCAGTAGCGGGAAAGTAGAAGGGGAAGGGTGTAACCACTAACATTAGTGGTTTTTTTATCGATAGAAAGTACAAGTTTATTCTGTGGAATGTCTGCGGAAGCCGATAATTAGTTCTCGCACTTTACGATATCTCGCATGGCCAACGAATTAACTTGTGACCTAGAAAAATAATTAGCACGCCGAGCGTTTGTAAACCTGAGATCGAGATTGCAACTATTCGAGACATTTTCGCGCTTCATCTCTCTTGAGAGAGAGAGAGAGAGAGATAGAGAGAGAGAGAGAGAGAGAGAGAGAGAGAGAGAGAGAGAGAGAGAGAGAAAAGGAAAAAGAAAGTAAAGAGAAAACGCAAGGGAAAAATCGCGTTATCGCAACATTCCGCGCAATGATAAGACAAATTTCGAATGCGACTCACTTATAATTACCGTAAGATAAATCCTCTCATCCCGGTGGCAGTATTCTTAAATACCGCGCGGCTCGCTATCGCGTTCGAGTTGATTTCCATGCAATGAATGGATTCATGAATAAAGCGCTTTTAGTCACAAATCGCTCGAGATCGCTCCGGCGCAAGGCAGTCTGCCAATAATTTCTGGGCGAACTCTATCGACGTTCCGAGTTATTCATAATTCGCTATATGTATTCCTGAATTGCATTAAATCGAGAGTACTCGGCGGAGGTGGTGGACGGTCGATCTCTACCGTTGAATTCGACAATTACAATTTGTTCTTACTTCGAGCTGCGTTTCTTTCCGTCTATGCCGAACAGTTTTGAGGATCGCTGCTGCCCGGATGATCCGGCGTTTTCCTCGCGAATAGTTTGGCGAAGCTTCTTATTTCTCCGAATAGCAAACGAATCGTTATTTAGGGCATCGTTCAAAGGAGATATCGATCGGGCGTCGTGTCGAGCGTGTAAGCAGAAATTCACTCCTTCATAAACACGCTTCGCCTCGCGAGTGAGCGAGCGAGCGAGCCGTGTATAAATTACCTGAAATTTCTCCTTGCGTTCTAGAATGATAAATAATATACGGCCATAATGTTACATGCACCATCCGCTACCAATGTAAGGAAATTCCGCGCCCGCGAATACGGTGTTTTACCGTTTCGCGAGATTGCGTTTTCAGCGAAAACTCCCGTCACGCTTTACATCGACGCGAACTAATCGAAGATTCGCGTACCACGGAAATTCGCGGCATGTTTCTGATCTTCGCGGCGATCTGCTCGAGCAACTGAGTAAATTCGTTATCCTCCCGGTGTGTCGATGGACCGACGATGAAAATAAATATTGGGACAAATCATCGAGAGAGCGGAACTCTCGCGCAGGAAATTTCGCAGGCAACTTTATACGACATATACGTTCCCGATGTAAGTGGAGAAGTTCGCCATATAATATGTATAATATTGCGCGCGCTCATATGCCCTTCGCGATATCCGCGTTCGGCCCGCCGAAAAACTGCAAACCGAATTAGACATGTCCGATAATTAACACGTCTTCGCGTCTTCCTCCGTCCTGCCGGCTGTTAGCTTTGGGAGAATAAACATCGCCCGAATTAGCTGAACAAATTTCTCTCGTTCCCAGCGGCGTTGCTCCGCTCTTCCGGACTGACTTTCATCGTGTCCCCGCCACTCGCGGAATCACGAGGAATGGAGTGTCCGGAAATTCCATCGAGAAGCGAACTTTCTTACGAACGTCGCGGAAAATTGAATTTTTAAGCGACAGGTCATTTGCGAGTAGCCGGCTGATTTGTTCTCTCTCTCTCTCTCTGTTTCTCTCTCACTCTCTTTCTCTCTTCCTCTCTGACTCGTCGTTGATTCGTCCGTGTATTTTCCGATTTCATCGCAACTTCTTCTCGCGCTCCGCTATTGAACGAAGGCTAATTACAACTGCGATATTCCGCTACGAGTTTAAACGATCCGCGGGAAATACTGTCGCGATTCTGTGTTTAACCCCGCGCTTCGCGTTCCGACAAGTTTCGCCTTCATTTATTCGCGACTATCCATTGTCCTATTGTTAAAAGCAAAACCGTTGGGATTATTGTTGAAAGCTTTGCAAAAAATAAATTATGACTTTTTGAAATAAATCTGAATTTTAAAAATATCACTATAATTGTAATTTATCCGAGAAAGATATCGCACGCCATTGAAACGGTGAGAAAAGAGCGAAAGAGAAAAAAAGAGAGAGAGAGAGAGAGAGCGGATGATATTCACCTGGAGTCGGGTATCCAACCGAACAGCAATAATTCATAGCAATAAACATGAGACGTGGAAATAAACTGCTCTTTTATATTTTATCACGATATTTGTATCAATCTGCGAACAATTATTTTCATTCTGCGGTTACGTAATCTATTTCGGACGTCGTGCGAAATGTATGGGAGAGAAAGAGAGATAGAGAGAGAGAGAGAGAGAGAGAGAGAGAGAGAGAGAGAGAGAGAGAGAGAGAGAGAGAGAGAGAGAGACAGAGTTGTTGATAAAGAGAATCGATTTCTCACGTGAATTTCCTCGGCCGCGCTCTACTCCGCGATGTCGCTCGAATTTCTTAACCGAGTGATCCGCAAATACAATTGTGCCGTAATATGTAAACACCGTGCTCGCCGATAGCCTGACATCTCCGGCGAACGTCACTTCCGCCTCGAGAATTATAGATATCGGATGCGGACGCGTAATACGTTTGCGGAATACGATTGATTGTAAGTCGGGAGCCCAATTTGTGTCGAGCTCCGTTTAGAACTCGCGCCCGGAGAGAGGGAAGCGTGCGGGCCACAGGAACGCCGCGCGGTTGTTCCATTGAAGTTGTTACAGCAATTCGCCTTATTATACATCTCGCCGAGTGTCTACTCACCAACCTATGGCCCGCGTGTGAATTTACGCCCTGTGCCGCGCACGCATCGCCTTTATACGGGTGCGCGTCAGAATTAATTGCATGCACGTTATTAAGTTCGGCGTGCGAGTCGAGGCGTGGTGGCTTAATTTTCCTGTGCCTCCGTAAATATATTGCGCTTCCCGAGAGAGAGAGAGAGAGAGAGAGAGAGAGAGAGGAAGAGAGCCAAACGAAATATGAATCGGACGAGACGACCGCGCGCGCCTTTCGCGACCGCAAACTTTCGCGTTCCGCTGAGCTGCGGAAATAGCAGCGGTGTCTTATTATTTACAGCCGATCGATTTATTCAATATTGCCGTGACCATCGGAATAATGCAAGGAGCTCGACAGACGTCCGAGAGACATTTAAGGAAGAGAAAAAGCTGGAGAGATTTGAGGGGGGCGGTTTTAACGTCATCTCCCGCGGTGGAATCTCTCCGTTTCGTGTCTCGTTCGAGCGCGCTCATCGTAGTCACGTTTTCCCAATAACGATGAGGGCGGAGGGAGAGGGGAAGGGGGCGTTCTTAATTTCTTCTATTACCGGATACGAGATAGATCCGCGGTAGATCTGGAACGACGGCCTGTCCCCGGCCTATCGGCCTGTTATCTGTCCCGCTTTATATCGCAGAACGCCGAAAAATTGAATTGCGGTCGGTAGCACGGACGAGCAGTAAATCGAAACTCCCCGCAGAGATGCCGGTACAATCGAACCAGACGAGAGAGAGAGAGAGAGAGAGAGAGAGAGAGAGAACGGGTAGACCGTAAACCATTACTATTGGGCTTATCAAAGTGATTCACGTGACTGGCCGACGGCATTATGCAAATGAGCCGTAAAATTATCGTAGCCTTCAGGCATCGCTAGACAAGGGGATACCTGAACTTTCCATTATACGTGACAGAGCACGTTGCGGCCGCTCGCGCTCGGCTATAGCTCGCCGATATCCGTTTCACAAGGCAAAGATTACACAATAATTCTCTTCGGTCGGATGTAATCGCGCGAGTCGAGTTTGTCTTGCGAATTGCGCCGTTCGCGGGCGAATGAATTCCGCCTCGGCTTAGCCCGGCAAGACGGAGTCGT